TTCATGGAAGTCTTTAGCTTAAGCCCTGGCAGCTCAGCAGCCATTGAGTTGATCATCAGATGTCACGTTGACTGAAGAACGTCCAAAAGGGGCTCCATTGACAGGGTGGGGGTGGAGTGGGGAGTCCTGCCCTTGAGAGACCCAAGGACCGCAGAAGAATGAAGGAAGGATGACATTGCCATCTCTATTTTTTCTCTTAAATGGGGACAGTAGGACAGGGACGGAAGGCACGCTGGTGCTCTTATGCATGCTCCCTTAGAGGCCTCTTAGGAATGGGGTGAGGTCAACAGTAGACAGTTTAAGGTTAAAGTTTTGGGGGTTTGGAGAAGAAGCCACAGAGTCAGGTAGTGTATTCCAGGTATTGACCACTCTGTTGCTGAAGTCGTATTTTCTGCAATCGAGTTTGGAGCGGTTTACCTTGAGTTTGTATCTATTGTGTGCTCGTGTAATATTGCAGTTGAAGCTGAAGAAGTCATTGACATGGCTAAGGCAGAACTAGAATTCCCCATCTCCTGGTGATTGGTCCTAAGACACCCAACTGGCTTTCATGGCTAAAGCAGAGCTAGAATTCCCCATCTCCTGGTGATTGGCCCAAAGGGCAGAAACTAGAATTCCCAATCTCCCTGTTTGTAGCCTGGTGGCTTAACCACTAGACGAAACTGGCAGATAACTAGATAACCAGATAACTCGAAGGTATCCAGCCTGCAAGAACTACTTTAGGTTTATTAGATACTCAAAGGGGACCAAATAAATGTGGTTTAACATGGCGGCTGCCAGGGGAAAGAAGATGAAAAAAGCCGGTTAATGACTTGGAACCAATTATGGACTGCAAAACATTAAGTGGCAGCCTTTAATGGCCTCGATAGATCAGTTCCACAGATAATGGTGACGGGGAGGAACTCCACCACATGCCAAGCGCCAAGTGTGGTCAGCCAGTTTGTGACTCACGAGTCCTGTGCCGCCTCGCTGGATGAATTAAATTGGGTTAATTTAATAAAGCTCCATTCAGTTAATCACGCATCAGTGCATTAGGGTTTTAACAGATTAATAGAGTTGGAAGGGACCTTGTAGGTCATCTAGTCCAACCCCCCGCCCAAGCAGGAGACCTGACAGATGACAGTCCAGTCTCTTCTTGAAAGCTTCCGGTGATGAAGCTCCCACAACTTCTGAAGGCAACTTCTGTTCCACTGGTTGATTGCTCTCACTGTCAAAAAATTCCTCCTTATTTCTAGGTTGAATCTCTCCTTGATCAGTTTCCATCCATTATTCCTTGTCTGGCCTTCTGGTGCTTTGGAGAAGAGGTTGACCACCTCCTCTCTGTGGCAGCCCCTCAAATATTGGAAGACTGCTATCATGTCTCCCCTGGTCCTTCTCTTCACTAGACTAGCCAGGCCCAGTTCCTGCAACCGTTCATCTTATGTTTTAGCCTCCAGTCCCCTCATCATCCTGGTTGCTCTCCTCTGCACTTTTTCTAGAGTCTCAACATCTTTTTTATAGTGTGGTGACCAAAACTGGATGCAGTATTGCAAGTGTGGCTGGCATTACTCAACGACAAAGGTGCATGGAACACTGTTTACCTTCCCACCAAAGATAGTCCCTATTTTTCTACTTGCATTTTTTACGTGCTTTCGAACTGCTAGGTTGGCAGAAGCTGGGACAAGTAATGGGAGCTCACCCCGTTATGCGGCACTAGGGATTCGAACCGCTAAACTGCCAACCTTTCAATCGACAAGCTCAGCGTCTTAGCCACTGAACTATCAGCGTCCCTCTGAGCTACAGATTATGTTCTCCATAAGAATGGGACTCGAGAGACAGACAGGACACTTGGGGTCAAGAAGATCTGAATGCCAAATTGATAAAAAAAAAAGTTTGCAAACGGAGGATTCAGTAGAAGTGCTGCAAATCTTCTTGGGCAGCCCAACGTCTACACCCAAAAACAGCTGACATACATGCATTAAGTACATGGAAACCTCACGAGGTCAGGTGGTTGGTCCACCCAACTCAACAGTTGGCTGAAGTAGCCTGGATCCAATCCAGATTCAAAATAACTTTGGGAAAGGAAGGGAGAGGAAATATATTTTATTTTCCGGTTCTGCAGACTCTCTGGAATTATCTAATCCTGTTCCGCCCCACCCGGCCTGCAACAATAATAGAATAATAGAATAGAATTCTTTATTGGCCAAGTGTGATTGGACACACAAGGAATTTGTCTTTGGTGCATAGGCTCTCGGTGTATAGCAAAAGACAAGATACATTCGTCAAGAATCATAGAATCATAAATTAGAATGGAATGGAATGGAATGGAATGGAATGGAATGGAATAGAATGGAATAGAATAGAATAGAATAGAATAGAATAGAATAGAATAGAATTCTTTATTGACCAAATGTGATTGGACACACAAGGAATTTGTCTTTGGTGCATAAGCTCTCAGTGTACATAAAAAGACAAGATACATTCATCAAGAATCATAGAATAGAATAGAATGGAATGGAATGGAATGGAATGGAATGGAATGGAATAGAATAGAATAGAATAGAATAGAATAGAATAGAATAGAATAGAATAGAATAGAATAGAATAGAATAGAATAGAATAGAATAGAATTCTTTATTGGCCAAGTGTGATTGGACACACAAGGAATTTTTCTTTGGTACATATGCTCTCAGTGTACATAAAAAGACAAGATACACTCGTCAAGAATCAAGTGTGATATTAACAAGAAAGATGTCGAAGTTCCCAGTTCATACCACTGTATAAAATTTTGGGGCACGTCCCAGGTCTCAGAAGAAAAGTTCTTGTAAATAAAGACGGAAGGAAAAGCAGCCTGGGGCTGGGATTTGCCCGAAGATGATTCCACAATGGGCAATCGGCAGGCAGAGTGGCCGAATGGCGAGTTTGCTGCCTCTTTCAATTCTGCAGAGCGAGTGCCTCGAAGGTGCTGTGCTCAGAATGAAAATTAAAGTTGGGAAAACAACGTTGGCAGGAGCAAAGCATCGGTCACACCTCCAAACGCTTTGTCGGGGTGTGTGTGTGTGGCTCGCCCACAATACGACTTTGTGCACTGGAAAAAATGCTGCATTGTACCACCCTGGCCCTGACGGAGCCGTTTCCTCCAGGCCCTTCCCCTTCCTCCCTTCCCCAGGAGAGAAAACATGATGGCTCAAAGAAAGAGGATAATTGTCCAATTCACTGTCCAGAAGACTGAGGGTCTCCTCCATCCAGAATTACTGACGCTCCGGACTATAAGATGCACCTACCTTTTTTGTTGAGGAAAACAAGAAAAAGAAATCTGCCTCTGCCTTTGCCTCCCAGCAATTTTGCCTCATTGCAGCAAACAGCCTGCTTTACTTTCATTTTCAGCATAGCTTGATTAGCATAAGAAAAAAAAATCTGCTCCCAGCCATTTACCTCTTTGCAGCAAGCAGCAGAGGCCTGCACAGCAATAGGCAATGGTAATCCCTGCAGCCTGAAACAGCTGAGAGTCGGGAGGACGGACAATAAACTTGTGCTAATTAGGCTGTGCTGAAGCTGAAATGGGCTGTTTCTTCTTGCTGCTTCCTTGCAAGGAGATAAATTGCTGGGAGGCAGAGGCCAAATGGTGGGGGCCAGTGGGTGGGCGGGGCTATATTCAATGCATAAGACGCACCCAAATTTTCACCCCCTTTTAGAGGTGGAAAAAGGTGTGTCTTATACGCCGAAAAATACGGTAAGTGCTTTTAGGAAAGGAGTGTGCTGTTACAGTTCACATGGAATCAACCCAATTACTTTCCACAGAGATTTTTCTAGAGTTTATTCTAAAGCAGATGTTCTTAACTCGGGAGCCTTGTGCATGCTAGAACTACGAATGCCTAGCTATTCTAACCACAGGGCATCAGATGCAGACTTCAGACCCTTAAAACTAGAAACCTTTTTTCCTCCATGCCCAGGTGCCCATTAGTGTAATGGTGTGATAAAGCTAATTATGATTGCCACATTAAGCAAAGACACCAAATTAAATCCGTCCTCTCCCCCCACCCCCCCATTCAGGAAGCTGCCAGGAGAGGTTCAAAGGAAATGTGCATCTTATCTATGGCATATAATTAACGGATGGGCTGGCTTAAAACCGGCTTTTAAATAAACACCCGATGCACAATTGGGCTGTGAATTCTAGTCTTCTTCAAGGAAAGTCTGAAGATGATAAATAGCTAAGAATCTTTTGGGAGTCTTATTCCTGGCCTGGACCACCGACATGGCTTTTACAAGCAGGGAATTCATATTTTCCAACCTGAAGGTCATCCTTCTTTGCTTAGGTTCAATACACTTGGAGGGCATCCAATTAGCCAAAATAAAGGTAAAGGTTCCTCTCGCACATGAGTGCTAGTCGTCCCCGACTCTAGGGGGCGGTGCTCATCTCCGTTTCAAAGCCGAAAAGCCAGCGCTGTCCGAAGACGTCTCCGTGGTCATGTGGCTGGCATGACTCAACACCAAAGGCGCATGGAACGCTGTTACCTTCCCACCAAAGATGGTCCCTATTTTTTCTACTTGCATTTTTTGACCTGCTTTCGAACTGCTAGGTTGGCAGAAGCTGGGATAAGTCACGGGAACTCACCCCGTTACGCGGCACTCGGGACTCGAACCGCTGAACTACCAGCCTTTCGATTGACAAACTCAGCGTCTTAACCACTGAGCCACAGCGTCCCTTATATCATCATATATTATTACATCGCGTCCAAAATAGTCCTTGCTTAAAAAAGAAAAAAGGATCCGTCATCACTCTGGAGTCCCTTGGTGCCCACAAGAGATCTCAGTCCAGCCCACCATGAATTCCGTTGACTCTTTACCTTACCGCCAGTTAAGGTAAGGTTGACTGTTAGTAGTTCATATTCTTGTAGACAGCACAAGCTTGCAATAAACCTTATTATTCATTTCAGCTGCCCAGACACTTGATTTCCTGTGCTTGACCGTTATTCAGGGTGCCTTTATTTATTTTTTTAAAAAAAATCTTCCTTCACCTATGATTTGCATTTTTGGGTTCTGACAATATTTATTAATATGGTTTTTATATTTGCATTTCTCTGTTTTTATTTATCGTTGTGGGCCGCTCAGGGCTGCCTTCAGAGAGAGGGATGGCTGTATACATTTGACTAATACGGTAAATAAACACGGAGAAGGAAGGAAGGAAGGAAGGAAGGAAGGAAGGAAGGAAGGAAGGAAAGAGGGAAGGACATGGGAAGGAGAGAAGGAAGGAAGGAGAAGGAAGGAAAGAGATGGGAACAAGGGAAGGAAGAGGGGAAAGAGAAGGAAGGAAGGAAGAAAAGAAGGAAAGACATGGGAATGAGAGAAGGAAGGAAGAAGAAGGAAGGAAAGAAGGAAGGAGATGGGAACGAGAAAAGGAAGGAAGGAAGATGGGAATGAGAGAAGGAAGGAAGGGGAAGGAAGGAGATGGGAATGAGAAAAGGAAGGAGGGAAGAAATAGAATGAGAGACGAAAGGAAGGGGAAGGAAGGAAGGAAAGAAGGAAGGAGATGGGAATGAGGGAGGGAGGGAGGGAGGGAGGGAGGGAGGGAAGAAAGGAAGGAAGGAAGGAAGGAAGGAAGGAAGGAAGGAAGGAAGGAAGGAAGGAAGGAAGGAAGGAAGGAAGGGCTTCCTCACACAGGCAAAAGTGCTGATGCAACTTATCTTGTTTCTGGCCCCTCCTGCTGGTTATTGCAATAGAAAAATCCTCTACAGTACATAGGAGAAGCATGTCAGATGCTGGGTCTAGATTTCCCCAAGTTCTTCAAGAGTTCAGAGCCCAGCTGAAAAGATTGGTCTCCATCGTCCAGGATCCTGCTACCAATAATGGACAGGAGCTGCTTCCCCCTTCAGTCCTTTCCAATGGGGAATGCAGTCAAAGATGGGTGGGAAGCACTGGGTATCTGACTGAAGAGCCTAGAATTCCAGCACTCTCTGGAACGGTGTTTCTCAAACCTTGGCAAGTTTAAGACGGATGGACTTCAACTCCCAGAATTCCCCAGCTAGCATGCTGTTTTTCGGACTTACCAGATGTCTCTATAAGTAATAAGCAATCAAGTGGAATACAGGAGATAGGCAAGACACCGAAAAATTTGAGAGTCCGTTTCTGAACCCTGCAGCCATTCAGTCTTGGGGGCTGCAAGGACGCAAAATAATTGGCTATTTGTGACTTCCCCTAGAATAGGAGGGGGGGGGCTTGGCGAATTGGCGGAGGGAGAAGGGATGGTTCTGTGTGAGTGGCATGAGGGCACGTGAGCGTGTGCAGCTCCATGCGTGTGCCTCCTGCTCACACAAGTGGAACTGCACACCCCTTGTGAGGCCCTGCTCCGAATGGGCCACAGATTGGTAGTGGGCCGTGGCCTGGGGGTTGGGGACCCCTGCCCTAGGACCTTGCCACAAGCAGTTTCTGTGTCGGTGATGGCAAACACCCAGTTTTTTTTTCTCCCGAGCATTGACGTCCAAGCCTTGCACAGAGTGGCCCCCCCAAAATGCCAATGTATTTTTTTTCTCAACCCGGCTGGCTGGGGAATTCTGGGCGTTGCAGTTCACCTGTCTTTTAACTCGCCGACATTGAGAAACACGGCTCTAGACGTGCAGCTACAACTTTACAGAAGGAGCTGCAGAAAACGACATGTCAGCGGCAGGGCAGGTGGAGAAACGGAAACTGCGCGCTGGATATCACACGGGGTTAGGCAAGTGGGTGGGTGGGTGCCTGCTTCGTGGAATTTCCGCAGGCCCCCCCAAACCTCGAAAGGCACAGCCGGCGAGTTCCGTACCCCAATGTTTCCAGAGGAGCAATCCCAACGGCAGGTTACATCAGACGATCAGGAAAGGACAGCTGGTGGAGGCAGCCGAGTGAGGAATTCATTGACTCCGTAGGAACTTCTTGCTCTCAAGTTCTTGACGGTGGAAGTCGGAACAAGGTACGGTCCTGGCAAAAGACCTGCTCCCAACCCTGATAGGTTCTCCAAGATGTCTTTGGGAGTTCCTCCTGGGTTGTCCCCCACATCAGTCTTGCTTCTCCTCCTTGTGCTTCCAAGGGTAAATGAGCTCTCCGACAAACAACTTCCTGCACAGAGAAGCCCAGGAGTCCTTGGGGTAGCAGCTGTAGGTTGGAAGCCTATAGATCTGGACCACGCGGCCGTAAGGGAGAGGGTTGATCTGGCAGGTTGAGAAGACATTCAGAGTGAGTAAATCAGGAGCAGGCCAAAACGGTGTACAGGTAGTCCTCGACTTACAACAGTCCATTTAGCGAACTGTTCACTGTTGGACCACAGTCCAACTTCAGTGCCATTGGAAGTTACAACGGCACCGAACGAAAGTGACTTGTGATCGTTTTTCATACTTAATGACGGTTTGCAGCATCCCCGTGGATCAGAATTCAGGCATTTGGGAACCGACTCGTATTTATGACGGTCGCCATGTCCCAGGGTCATGCAATCCCCCTATTGCTACTTTCTGACCAGAAAAGTCAATGGGGAAGCCAGATTCATTTAACGACCGTGTCACTCGCTTAACAACTGCAGGGATTCGCTTAAACCACCGAGGCAAGAAAAAGATCGCCAAATGGGGGCAAAATTCACCGAACCGATGTCTCACTTAGCAGCAGAAATTTTGGGCTGAACTGCGGACGTAAGTCGAGGACTGCTGGTACAACAAAAATCACAATGCAGCTTTTGTGCAGATCGATCAAGAGGCATGGTTGTGGTTTTATATATATATATACTGTATATACACAATTCCTATATATATTTTCTTTATATATTTCCTATATAAAGAGGGTCTGTTTTGGGGAATCTGCTTCCAAGCCAGCTTTTAAATGAAGATGTTTCTTAACCGTTTGATGATTCTTCTTCCCACTCTTAGAAACAAGAAGCCCAAATGAAGTCACAATACCAAACGCACAAATAAAAAATAGTAACCCAAGTAAATCTCGTATTAGAACTCCGCAACAGAGGTGGATTTCAGCAGGTTCTGATCAGTTCTGGAGAACCGGTAGCGGAAATTTTGAGTAGTTCGGAGAACCGGTAGTAAAAATTCTGACTGGTCCCGCCCCTGTCTATTCTCTGCCTCCCAAGTCTCAGCTGATTGGGAGGAAATGGGGATTTTGCAGTATCCTTCCCCTGGAGTGGGGAGGGAATGGAAATTTTACAGTATCCTTCCCCTGCCATGCCCGCCAAGCCATTCCACGCCCGCCAAGCCACACCCACAGAACCGGTAGTAAAAAAATTTGAAACCCACCACTGCTCCACAGGGAAGAAACTCTATGCGTGTCGGAGATAAGACCTTGGTTTTTAATAGACGGGGGAATTTACTAAAACCAGCTTGAAGAGTCTTCCTTTTTGAGGACATGGCACGGAGCAGGTTAATATTTCTACACAACCGAAATGTTTACTCCGTATGCAGCTCTATCCCTCCCTCTTCCCCCCCCCCAAATATGGTATATTTTCTGGCCCCGATCCAGCAAACCACTTCCATATAAGCTTGGCTCAGCATTTAAGAGAATTGAACTGTACTCAAATTGAACGCAATCCAAAATTAAATGCAGCCAGACCTGTTTTTTCTTGCTTTTCCCAGCGCGTGTAAACCTAATAATTTGTTGGAGGAAGTGGCTTTCCACTGGCACTCTGGTCAAACGGCCCAGAAATCTTTGGAAAGGGCTTCCGTGAGATTTCACAGAAGGCCACTGGATCCCCAATAAAGTATCTCCTCTTTGTCTCTGAAATAATGAAACATTTGTGCACGCGTAGCTTCTTCTTCTTCTTCTTTTTTTAAAGACGTTAGGTTTGAAAACCAACGGAGGTTTTTTTTTTGTATGTTTATTTTCTGGCTGATTTCAGATCAGAAAACAAGGTGGGAATATTTTTCGAGGAAATATCTGTTCAACTTGATAGGGCCACCTACCGTGGAGACATCCTGATTAATGTGATACCCTCCGTGTAAAACAGGTAAGAGGAAAAATATTTGTATTGGCTTTAGTAATGTACACTACTTAATTAAATGTTTAATTAAACATTATACCATCTATTGATACAATGTCTTGAGATTAAGGCAGTGCTTCTCATCCTTGGCAGATTTAAGTCATGGGGTGGACTTCAACTCCCAGAATTCTCCACAATTGCTGGCTCTTTGCTTCCACCTAAGGATCCAGCAAATTCTTACAGTCCAATTGTGATAGCTCTACTCAAGGGGTCAGCAACCTGTGGCTCTGGAGCCGCATGTGGCTCTTTCAACCCTCTGCTGTGGCTCCCTGTCACTCAAAATATGCATCACAACTGCCAATGTGTGACATCTGCTGGCACGTGATTTATTGAGCTTTTCAACCCCCGGTAGGCCAACCATTGATAAATCTAAGAAAAGAAAAGTTTCCAAAGAAAACAGAACGTTTAATTCAACTACATATGCTAGTTTTGTGGCCGCTCAGGAAATAGTCAGGCACGGGAAGAGTTTTGTGGCTCCCGGTGTTTTCTTTTCTGTGGGAAATGGGTCCAAATGGCTCTTTGAGTGTCTAAGGTTGCAGACCCCTGCTCTACTCAATGGAAACAACACAACCGACCTTCCATGATTATTCCATTGGACCTCAGAAGGATAGAAATAGCAGTAGCATTTAAGACATATATACCGCTTCACAGTGCTTTACAGCCCTGAGTGGTTTAAGAGTCAGCATAGGGCCCTCAAACCATCTGTGTCCTCATTTTACCAACCTCAGAAGGATGGCAGGCTGAGTCAACTTTGAGGCGGTCAGAATCGAACTGCTGGCAGTCGGCAGAGTTAGCCTGCAATACTGCATCTTAATCACTGTGCCACCAGGGTGTTCTGACCTAGGCTTCCCAAGAGCATGAAGCAGACTCCTTGTCCTGACAAAAACCCCTTTTTATTAAGTTACTCTGAATTCCTCTCATTCGCATCCAGCAAAGTCTTTCAAGGGAGAATTTACAGTCACAGACCTTATCTGGTCGACCTTATCTGGCCAGGCCAATATCTTCAAAATTTGTCAAGGAGTCACGAACCAATTAAGCGAACTAATTGTCTCCTGCAAACTCCACTTCCCTTTTGCTCCTCTTTTATTCCCTAAGGGAGGGGCCATTCACCGTCCACCTGTGGCTTTACTCCTGAGTCGACCCTTGTTCTTTAGCTGTTCCCTTCTCCTGGCAGCTCTGCGCATGCACACACTGGGAACAGGCTCCAGCTGTTCTTCTGTCCCACTGATGTCCGACCCTGAACGCAGCTGACAACAGTCAGACGGCCCTGGCCCCCTCTCTGCCTCCGACGCAGAGCCCTCATCAGAGCCTTCCCCAGACTCCAGGACTGGCCCATGTTCCTCCCCAATCTCCTCACTGTCTGAATCTGCTGCCAGATCCGCTGGTGGGCCACAACACAGGGCTCATATTACTAGGATATTAGTAATAGTAAATGAAGCATGAGTATATGCCGATGGTAGGACAGAGTTGCAAGGCCTTCTGAATATGAGCACATTCCCCAAAGAAATCAAGAAAAAGGACGAGGATTTACCTGCATCAGAAGTCGAAGAGGGATGCCAGTTTCCTGCTCCAGAACTCTGAATTTGACACCAGCTGAAAACACACAAAAATAAAAGCAGGTGTAGGAAGGAAAAAGGCTTAATTGACAAACCATGGCAATGAGCTGGAGGAATTTTGCAAAAGGCCAAATCTGGTTTTTAAAAACAGAGAATAACATGGAGATAAAAATCTCGCTTTACCTGCAGGAAGTTTAAACGCAACCAGGTTTGTTCCTAGGAGTTTATGTTCCAAATGTTGGTTATGTGCTACCTTCTCGTCGGTGAAACTCAATTTATAGCTAATCCAATTATGACTAACAATGGGGTCTCAAATTTCCATGGCCAACTGTGGCAAGAAAGGTCGTAATAGGGGGCAAAACACAACTGTCTTGCTTAACAACAGAAATGTCGGGCTCAGTTGTGGCTGTAAATTGAGGACTACCTGTAGTGAGTTGGAATTTACAGGACTTGACCTGTCAGCCGGTAGCAAGTTAATTCTCTGTCCAATTTAGTGTATATCTATTTGTGTGCCACCGATTCCTGATTTTAAGTGTGTACAACCAACATGGTGTCTCAGCAGACTAAAAGCATTGTGATTAACATCTGCTGCTTGCAATTACTGTAAGTTCGAATCTCACCAGGCTCAAGGTTGACTCAGCCTTCCATCCTTTCTATGGTAGGTAAAATGAGGACCCAGTTTGTGGGGGCAATAAGCTGACTTTGTATAAATATACAAAAGTATGAAGGCTATTGCTTAACGCACTGTAAGCCGCCCTGAGTCTCCGGAGAAGGGCGGCATATAAATCAAATTTTTTTAAAAAAACATAAACAGGACTCCGGGCAAAATGTTCAACCCCCCAATTTACAATATGGATTTATAGAGCTTACAGGCGAGTCTGTAGCCTCGGCAGAGTCGAAGGACGATGGCATAAAGGGGTAGAGAGTTGATGAGGTCCACCAGCAGATGGATTAGGCCTTGCACAAGGACTACCAGGAGACGAAGCTAAAAGGAAAGATTTGTTTCTGTTAGATTTTGGTGTTGACATTTACTGGCCCAACTCCTGGCAAGTTTTACAGCCAGGCAACAGTATAAAAGTTTCCATCTTAACTGCATCACTGTTTGGTTTGGTGGCAGCAGTGCCTCAGATAGAAAGTCCCTACAGAGAGTGATGAGGACAGCGGAGAAGATTATAGGAAGCTCACTTCCCTTTATTCAGGATACTGCTCATAAGCGCTATGTGCTTAGAGCTCAAAGCATTGTTAGAGACCCCACACACCCACTTCAGGGCCTGTTTCTGTTGCTCCCCTCTGGGAGGAGGTTTCAAAGTATTTTTAGCGGGACTTCAAGATTCTGTAACAACATTGTTCCCTATGCCATCTGTCTGGTAAACTCGCAAGATTAGTTTTTTTCTTGCCATGCACATGTATACATCCGAACTAGACTGAGTTGTTTCTTTGTGTCATATAATATATGTGGGTATATACATAATTTTGTATTTATTTATTTATTTGTTTGTTTGTTTATCTTGTCATGTTTATGTAGTGTGAAATTGGAGGTGGTGACCCTTTAAGAGCTGTATGCAACTAAATTTCATTTTTATTGTATGCCAATTTGTGTACATTCAGTGACAATAAAAGTTTTCTATTCTGTTCTATTCTATTCTTCTATTCATCTGTTCTGTGCTTCTTCTTCCGTGTCTAGATCAAACTTTCATGAAGCCACCTTCTTGGCTTTGCCGTTGGCCAAAAATAAGTCATTATCGGTACGTGTTTCTGGTAGTAGCCGACATAGCAGCAGACGAGCTGGGCTCTGCGTCTCTCCACATTCACACAGTGTGTTGCTATCCACAAAGAGCCGCCCCTTGAGCATTAAGATTAAGATTAACAGAGTTGGAAGGGATCTTGGAGGTCATCTAGTCCAACCCCCCACCCAAGCAGGAGACCCTACACCATTTCTGACAGATGGCAGTCCAGTCTCTTCTTGAAATCCAGTGATGAAGCTCCCACAACTTCCGAAGGCAACTTCTGTTCCATGGGTTGATTGTTCTCACTGTTAGGAAATTTCTCCTTATTTCCAGGTTGAATCTCTCCTTGTTCTTTTCCCATCCATTGTTCCTTGTCTGGCCTTCGGGTGCTTTGGAAAATCACTTGACCCCCCCTTCTCTCTGTGGCAGCCCCTCAAATATTGGAAGACTGCTATCCTGTCTCCCCTGGTCCTTCTCTTCACTAGACTAGCCATGCCCAGTTCCTGCAACCTTAGCATATTTGTGTAAATGTAAAGAAAATGTAAAATGTAAATGTAAAATCAAGCATATTGGTTTTATATTTAGGCACTCCAACCCTCAACCTATTCAGGGTCCTCCAAGTAGTATACTTCTGTACTGCCAGTCTAGGTCACTACCTATCAGCCAGAGCAATGGTGAAATCCAATTTTTTTTACTACCAGTTCTGTGGGCATAGCTTGGTGGCTGTGGCAGGGGAAAGATACTGCAAAATCCCCATTCCTTCCCAACTCCTGGGGGAAGGATACTGCAAAATCCCCATTCCCTCCCCACTCCTGGGGGAAGGATATTGCAAAATCCCCATTCCCACCCCACTCCAGGGGAAGGATATTGTAAAATCTCCATTCCCTCTTCACTCCTGGGGGAAGGATACTGCAAAATCCCCATTCCCTCCCCACTCGTGGGGGAAGGATACTGCAAAATCGCCATTCCTTCCCCACTCCTGGGGGAAGGATATTGCAAAATCTCCATTCCCTCTTCACTCCTGGGAGAAGGATACTGCAAAATCCCCATTCCCTCCTCACTCCTGGGGGAAGGATACTGCAAAACCCCCATTCCCTTCCCACTCTGGGGCCAGCCAGAGGTGGTATTTGCCGGTTCTCTGAACTGCTCAAAATTTCCACTACCGGTTCTCAAGAACCTGTCAGAACCTGCTGGATTTCACCCCGAGCCAGAGTTTTCTCTCCCACCCTTAAATTTTGCCTTCTATCATCCAAACAGATGCTGTTGGTAAAAGCTGAGTGAGTTAGGGATTGGAATCTGTTTGCAGCTAAACATCACCTCAACACTACAGGACATACTAGATTTGAAAGAAGGGGATGTCTAATAAGATTGTGTGACAATTTGGAAAAAACTTAAAAGGACCTTTTGCGGGCACCTGATGGACAGAAAGCACGGGTCTGCAAGTCTTTAAATCAAAGAAGCAACTTAGAATGAAGGAGAAATTTCCTGACAGTTAGAACAATTAATCAGTGGAACAACTTGCCTCCAGAAGTTGTGAATGCTCCAACACTGGAAGTTTTTAAGAAGAGGTTGGATACATTTGTCTGAAGTGGTGGACGGTTTCCTGCCTAAGCAGGGGGTTGGACTAGAAGACCTCCAAGGTCCCTTCCAACTCTGTTATTCTATTCTAAATCCATTTTTTCCTGGGGTGCATAGGCCAGTCACGCAAGCCTAGAAAAAGAGGCCATTTCTAAAAGGAGACGCAGCCACACGGCAAACGAAGCATCCTTTTGGCTTTGAATCCAAGGCCTGCCCGCCTCTGTCAATCATCTGAACTGGCTATTTAATTCTCTTTGGTGTTCTCTAGCGTTTTAACAGTCCTTCCAACTTTTCACATTGCTTTGAACGCAAACCCTCTCAATCGTGCATTAATTCCAGAAAAGGCAGACTCACCAAAGTAAACACCAAGTAATACAATGCAGTTGTGGGCAGCAGAAACAGCAAGATGGTAAACAGCAAAGTACCAATGAATAGCTGGAAAAAGAAAAGACAAGTAGAATTAGCAGAGATTATCAGTGGTTAAGACACTGCGCATGTCGATCGAAAGGTCGGCAGTTCAGCGGTTCGAATCCCTAGTGCCCCGTAATGGGATGAGCTCCCATTACTTGTCCCAGCTTCTGCCAACCTAGCAGTTCGAAAGCAGGTAAAAAATGCAAGTAGAAAAATAGGGACCACCTTTGGTGGGAAAGAAACAGCGTTCCGTGCACCTTTGCCGTTGAGTCATTCCGGCCACATGACCACGGAGACGTCTTCGGACAGTGCTGGCTCTTCGGCTTTGAAACGGAGATGAGCACCACCCCCTAGAGTCAGGAACGACTAGCACATATGTGCAAGGGAAACCTTTACCTTTATGGGTAGGGAAAACCTGGAAGCTTTCAGATTCGGGTTTTCCCTGATGTGCCAATATGACATCTCTCATAAAATGGAACCTTGAGGAACTTCTAGCCTCGGAGTTTTCTTTCGTTGGGGGGTGTTACTTGGAACCCTGACACCAGGTTCTTCAAGTAGCTTCAGGGAGATCAAAGCAAATGTTTGACAGCTGGAAAATGTGTTCTGAAGTCTTTCTAGGAAGAATGAATGTAACTCTGGTGACACTGCTCCTGCCCCTTGGTCAGGGGAATATCTCTCAGAGAAGAGCAACCAAAACCCCTTGAAAGAGTTTGTAGCAACAGGGGAGAGAAGCAGGAGGAGGCCAGATCCCATCTGTCCCACCTGCTCTTCTTGTGATCTCTGTCCATAGGGTGACCAAAAGAACAGATCCCTGGGACTCAGGGAGATTTTTTTTCAAGACTTTGCTCTCTCTCCTTTTCTTTCAAGAAACTTAACGATGTCGGGAACCCTGTGTTGTGGCCTGCCAGTTGCCAGCGGAGCTGGTGGCAGACTCAAACAGTGAGGAGCTTGGGGAGGAACAGGGGCCAGTCCTGGAGTCTGGGGAAGGCTCTGCATCGGAGGCAGAGATGGGGCCAGGCCCGTCTGACAGTTGTCAGCTACCTTCGGAGTTGGACATCAGTGAGGCAGATGAACAGCTGGATCCTGTTCCCAGTGTGCGCATGCGCAGAGCTGCCAGGAGAAGGGAACAGCTAAGGAACAAGGGTCGACTCAGGAGTAAAGCCACAGGTGGACGGTGAATGACCCCTCCCATGAGGAATAAAAGAGGAGTGAAAGGGGAGGGGAGTTTGCAGGAGACAATTAGTTGACTTAATTTGTTTGTGACTCTCAGAAAACTTCTTGCCAAGTTTTGAAGATATCGGCCTGGCAGCTGTCCAAGCCAGATAAGGTCTGTGACTGTAAATTCTCCCTTGAAAGACTTTGCCGGATGTGAATGAGAGGAATTCACAGTCATTTAATAAAAAGGTTTTTTTGTCGGGACAAGGAGTCTGCTTCATGCGCTTGGGAAGCCTAGATCAGAACTCCCTGCTGCTGATCAGGCCGTTGCCTTGACGTCTTAACACGTGGGTGGAAAAAAGCAAAGACTTTGTCGCAAATAAATTCCACCCTCCCCGCCATCCTGTTGGAAATACGTGGGCCCAGCTCCCTTCCAAAAAGCCCGTGGAACGGGGTTTTTTTTTTAATAGAAACACAAATCGGCAGGTAACTATGGCAACGCTGTTGGCTACGGCTGTAATTATTTGGTGTCTTTGATTGAAATCGCTTCCTTCCCTACCGCCAACCCATTATCACACCCGGGCTGTGACTTATGTGGCACAGGGCACCTGCGGCAAAGGGTCTCTTAAGACTAAGCCCCCTTCTGCTATAATTGTCTGAAAATGGGCCAGGGGAGAACAGTGACATTCAGGGCTCGGTAATAAACAGGCTGCATCAGGGTAAAGAGTGGGCCTGAATTGGCGCATTCGGCAGTTCGATTCTAACCGGCTCAAGGTTGACGCAGCCTTCCATCCTTCCGAGGTTGGTAAAATGAGGACACCAGATTGTCAGGGGAAAGAGGCTGATTCTGTAAACTGCTTAGAGAGGGCTGGAAAGCACCGTGATGTATATATACGTACCGTACTTTTCAGACTATAAGACGCACTTCCCCCCCCTCAAAGAAATGTTGGTGCATCTAATAAACCAAATACAGCCAGTTTTGGCCTCCCGAAACCCCATGCATCATGTTTTTGCCCTCCCCAGCCCCTAGGAGCACTCTGCAGGCCGCCCAAACCCTCTGCGGGCCCTGTTTTTGTGAAAAATGGCTCCGTTTTTGGCCTCCCCAACCCCCCATGCATTGTGGTTTTGCCCTCCCCGGCCCCCAGGAGCACTCTGCAGGCCTCCCAAACCCTCTACGCACAGAGGGTTTGGGAGGCCTGCAGAGTGCTCCTGGGGGCTGGGGAGGGCAAAAAAAATTTGTTTCTTGTTTACCTCTTCAAAATCTTAGTGCGTCTTATACTCCGGTGCTTCTTATAAGTCTGAAAAATACAGTATATAAGTCTATAAGGTAAGTCTAAATGCTATTGCTATTCCTGACATTCACAACGCCTAAGACGTTTGACAGTTTCCTAGGACGCACGGAGATCGTACAGGTAGACCTCGACTTACGATCACAACGGAGCCCCAAATTTCCATTGCTAAGCGAGGCATCTGTTAACTGAGTTTCACCCCATTGTACAACCTTTCTTGCCAAAGTTGTTGAAGTGAACCACTGGAGTTGTAAAATTAGTAACATGGTTGTTACATGAATCTGGCTGCCCCCTTGAATTTGCGGGTTGGAAGGTCATGAAAGGGGATTGCGGGACCCCCCCCTCCTGGGAGATTGCAAATGTCATGAATGTGAACCAGTTGCCAAGAGTCTGATCACATGAACATGGGGATGTTGCAACGGTCGTAAGTGTGAAAAACGGTCATAAGTCACTTTTGAGAAATCACTAAATGAACTTCTTATAAGTCAAGGACTACCTGTATAGAGATCGTAATTGTGGCTACTCCCCCCACCCCCGGAGACATCTACAGATTCTCAGATTCGGACAGTGAGGAGGTTGGGGAGAAACATGGGCCAGTCCTGGAGTCTGGGGAGGGCTCTGACGAGGGCTCTGCGTCAGAGGCAGAGAGGGGGCCAGGGCCGTCTGACAGTTATCAGCTGCCTTCGGAGGCAGACATCAGTGAGGCAGACGAACAGCTGGAGCCTGTTCCCAGTGTGTGCATGCAGGGAACAGCTAAAGAACAAGGGTCAACTCAGGAGTAAGGCCACAGGTGGACGGTGAATGGCCCCTCCCATGAGGAACAAAAGAGGAGCGAAAGGGGAAGGGAGTTTGCAGGAGACAATTAGTTCGCTTAATTGGTTCATGACTCTCTGAGACTCCTTGCCAAGTTTTGAAGATATCAGCCTGGCAGCTCCCCAAGCCAGATAAGGTCTGTGACTGTAAATTCTCCCTTGAAAGACTTTGCTGGATGTGAATAAAAAGGGTTTTTTTGTCAGGACAAGGAGTCTGCTTCATGCTCTTGGGAAGGCTAGGTCAGAACAAATGTACCTGGAAGTGTATTGGTGATCGCACCATGATTGTCCACCAATTGGTGCCCCCCTGAGAGCCCTTACCTGGTCTAAGTCATAGGAGCAGGAATCGACGCGTTGCCTCAAGACGTTCCATTTCTTCCCTCGGAACAAGCGCCACAGAGAGGACAAGCCGTAAATCTTGAAGCAATACAGCCTAAGTCCAGAGGAGGAAAAGAGAAAGTTCAGGATGGCCCTGAAATAAAACCCCCAGACTTCTATCCAAGACTCGGTTCAAATAACAAAGGCTGTATCGGGGACAAGCAAGCAGAACAGCTACCAGAATGGGTCAAATAAGTTCCTTGACTGTTGATGACCAGTTTACAAGAATCTCATGGGTGTTTGGCTTTCTCTTGAGAAACAGCAGATGTATTAAAGTTATATATGCCTCCATCCATGAGTCCGGAATTTTAGCTTTAAGTAATAGTTCATTGAATACTTGCAGCATCACATTGCTTATACCTCTGCTGGTAATCCATCTGGACCTGGTGTCTTCCCATTTTTCTAAGATAATTAGAAAATCGGGGCTGCTCGAATATCACTTTAGATTGAACTGAAAAGGGAAACAACAGGAGGGAGGGGAAGGAGTAGAGAGAGAGGAAGAGAGGAGAGAGGGGAGGAGAGAAGAGGAGAAAGAAGAAAGGGAAAGGGAGAGGAAGAAAAGGGAGGGGAAAGAGGAGTAGAGGAGAAGGTTAGAAGGGGGGGAAGAAGAGAGGAGTGGGAGAAGAGAAGGGGAAATAGGAAAGAGAAGGAGAGAAAGAACGAAGGAAGTAGGAGAAGAGAGAGGAAGGAAGAGAAGGGGAGGAGAAGAAGAAAGGTTGGAGTAAAATTAAAGGGTAAAAGAGCAGTCCCGAAAAAGTAAAAATGAAAAATGAAAGTTAAAAGAAAAGATGAATGAAAAATGATGGAAATGACTGTACATGTAAATGTGTTTATGAGAAATAAAAATATATTTTTTTAAAAAAAAAGAGAAACAGCAGATGTAGATCTAAAGATCAAAGGTTTCCTCCCCCAAGTGGGCTCCCAACAAAACACCCCCAACAAAAGAAGACTCCAAGGCTCAAAGTTCCCCAAAGTTCCATTTTATTAGAGATGTCATATTGGCATATCTGGGAAAACTCGAATCTGAAAGCTTCCAGGTTTTCCCCACCCATAAAGGTAAAGGTTCCTCTCGCACATATGTGCTAGTCATTCCCAACTTTAGGGGGCGGTGCTCATCTCCGTTTCAAAGCCGAAGAGCCAGCGCTGTCCGAAGACGTCTCCATCATCATGTGACCGGCATGACTCAACGCCAAAGGCGCACGGAACGCTGTTACCTTCCCACCAAAAGTGGTCCTTATTTTTCTACTTGCATTTTTTACCTGTTTTCGAACTGCTAGGTTGGCAGAAGCTGGGACAAATAAAGGGAGCTCATCCCGTTACGTGGCACTAGGGATTCGAACCGCTGAACTGCCAACCTTTTGATTGACAAACTCAGCGTCTTAGCCTCTGAGCCACCGCATCCCCACCCAAAAGAAAGTCCAAATCCCTGCCCAACACCCACATGTCCATCACATGGTCCAATCAAAGCACTGTCCCAACTGGAGATGCCTCCCAGTCACAGGGCAAGATGTCCTTGACTCCCAGAGAAAGGAATGTTATTATGACTATATATCTCCTCTGCTTCATACAATCCCCCCTCCCAGTTTCCCACAGCAGTAAATGTGGCAGGCCTGAAGGCCCAATGAAAAAGATGGCTTCCAGGCCTGGCAGGTTCCACTACAGGCTAAGAGCTTCTCCTTCACATTCCTGCAAAGCATTAAGTCCTTGAATTAGGACCACAATTGAACCCAACATTTCTGTGGCTAACCGAAAAGAGTTGTTAAGTGAATTTTGCCTCATTTTACGACCTTTCCTGCCACAGTTTGTTAAGCGAATCACCGCAAGTTGTGAAGTTAGTTCACCCGGTTCGTAAGAGAATCTGGCTTTCCCCGTTGATTTGGCTTGTCAGACAATCGCAAAAGGGGATCGCATGACCCTGGGACAATGCAAGCGTCATAAATACGAGCCAGTTGCCAATTTTAATCATGTGACCATGGGGAGGCTACAACAGTTGTAAGTGCAAAAAAAGGTCGTCACTTTTGTCAGTGCCATTGTAACTTTGAACAGTCGCCAAACGAAATGTTGTAACTTGAGGACTACCTGTATACAGTTGCAAGAAAAAGTATGTGAACCCTTTGGGATTATGTGGAGTTTTGCATGAATTGGTCATAAAATGTGCTCTGAACTTCATCTAAGTCATAACAATAGAAAAACACAGTCTGCTTAAAATAATACTACACAAACATTAGATGTTGCCATGGTTTAATTGAACATAACATGTAAACATTCACAGTGCAGGGAGGAAAAAGTATGTGAACCTTTGGACTTAATAACTGGTTGACCCTCCTTTGGCAGCAATAACCTCAACCAAATGGCAACATCTAATGTTTGTGTTTCTTGGAACTGTATATGAGGCTGCTCTGCGCTGAAATTTCAATTAGTGCAAGATATTGCAACAAGCTTAGAAAGGAACCTGGGTGATAAGAGCATCTGACATTAGCCTAATACAGGTAGTCCGACAACCTAATGGAACATGGAATTTCCATCATAAGTCACAATGGGCTTAAGTCGAGGCACCGACATGACCAACTGGATCTTACTAATTTTTTTTGCAGTGGTCATAAATGTGGCAGTCAGTCATAAAGCGAGTGAATGCATTCCTATGAGTGCTTTTTGTCAGAAATTGGCCAGAAGGGCGTGAAACTGGCAAAAAGTCATAAATACAATGATGTGTCTGCAGAACTTCAGAAATTGTGGGTGCTCCATCACTGGAGATTTTCAAGAAGGAGATTTTGGACAACCATTTGTCTGGAATGGTAGAGAGTCTCCTGGCTAAGCAGGGGGTTGGACTAGAAGATCTCCAAGGTCCCTTCTGTAATTCTGATCACTGCAAACACCATAAAGGCGAGGCAGTTGTCAAGTGTTCAAAATGCAGTCATGTGACCAGAGGGGGATACCACTGTTGTAACTCCAGAATTGGGACATAAATATCTTTTGGGGGATGGAATCTGTCGTAACTTTGAATGGTTACCAAGCAAGGATTACTTGTACTCTGGCTTGGTCTCCAGATGTTGGCTGTGGAATTTAGGTTACGCTCTGGATGCTGCCACATGGGTAATCAGGTTTAGGATTGCTCACTCTTGTAAGAGGTGCTTGTAAGAGGAATTTCAGCTGTGACACCCAGCCACAGTCTGAATTTTGTTGTTAGTTGCGAAGTTGTGTCCGACCCATCGCGACCACATGGACAACGTTCCTCCAGGCCTTCCTGTCCTCTACCATCCTCTGGAGTCCATTTAAGCTCACGCCGATTGCTTTGGTGACTCCATCCAGCCATCTCATTCTCTGCTGTCCCCTTCTTCTTTTGCCCTCAATCTTTCTCAGCATTAGGCTCTTTTCCAGTGAGTCCTTCCTTCTCATTAGATGGCCGAAGTATTTGAGTTTCCTCTTCAGGATCCGGCCTTCTAAAGTGCAGGATTGATCTCCTCTAGGATTGATCGGTTTGATCGCCTTGCAGTCCAAGGGATTCACAGGAGTCTTCTCCAGCACCAGAGTTCAAAGGCCTCAATTCTTTGACGCTCAGCCTTCCTTATGGTCCAACTTTCAGAGCCATACATTGCAACTGGGAAAACCATCGCCTTGTCTATACGCACTTTTGTTGGCAGGGTGATGTCTCTGCTTTTTAGTAAGCTGTCTAGATTTGTCATAGCTTTTCTCCGCAGGAGCAAGTGTCTTAGCAATAACCTTTCTTGCACTTATATATATGGAAAATGGAAAATTGTGTGGTTTGGCTGCTGGGCTTTGCAAGGGTAATATGAGATTCTGAGGTCAGGACAATGGGGAAAAAGACAGCCTGAGAACTGACTGCCATGCGAGAAAATTCCCACATGTAAAAGTGGCCTAACAATGTGATTCCCACGACTTCCTGTGCTTTCCCAAAGGGAGAGGGTTGGGGTTTTATTTTAGTTTTGGCTACTTAAAAAGAAAAGCCTCTTCAAATGGAAATCAATCCATAAACACGGGCTTGCTTAATGAAGGGATCGGGAATGGAACACACTGGCAACTTCTTAGCTTGTTTCTTTGCTGCTGACGCTAATATTGGCATTTTTGTATTTTGGGAAACCTGCCGGAAGGCACTCAGTGTTTGGGACATTTTCAATTCTGCTTGAAGGCATCTAGGAAATATATCATCCAGATCTGGTTTCGTTTGTCTGCTTTGGGTTTAGCCATAAGTTAAAGATGCTATCTTTAGAATAGAATAGAATAACAGAGTTGGAAGGGACCTTGGAGGTCTTCTAGTCTAACCCCCTGCTTAGGCAGGAAACCCTACACCACTTCAGACAAATGGTTATCCAACACCTTCTTTAAAACTTCCAGTGTTGGAGCATCCACAACTTCTGGAGGAAGTTGTTCCACTGATTCATTGTTCTAACTGTCAGGAAATCTCTCCTTAGTTCTAAGTTGCTTCTCTCCTTGATGAGTTTCCACCCATTGCTTCTTGTCCTGCCCTCAGGTGCTTTGGAGAATAGCTTGACTGCCTCTTCTTTGGGGCAGCCCCTGAGATATTAGAATACTGCTATCATGTCTCCCCTAGTCCTTCTTTTCACTAAACCCAGTTCCTGCAACCGTTCTTTATATATTTTAGCCTCCAGTCCCCTAATCCTCTTTGTTGCTCTTCTCTGCACTCTTTAATTTGTACTATTCTCTTCATTCATTATCTGTCTGCCCATCTCCCTTTTAATTTCTTTCTGACCTGCTTTCCAGAATAAGACATGGTTTTTCCAATCTCTGATGATTTATTTTGTGCAAGTTTGTTTTTTTAAAAAAGGAAACCAGGTTTTGGTTCCTTTCTCTCACATTTACGTTCGAAATACAATTTTCCAGATCGGAAGTCAAACTGAGTTTGGTTCAGTTTGAACCAAGTTTGGTTTAATTAAACTGAGACGATTAATAACACAATAACAGAATTGGAAGGGATCTTGGAGTCCAAACACCTGCGCAGGCAGCAAACCCTACACCATTTCAGACAAATGGCTGTCCAATCTCTTCTTAATTCTATTCTTAAGGTAAAGGTAAAGGTTCTCCTCTCACATATGTGCTAGTCGTTCCTGACTCTAGGGGGCGGTGCTCATCTCTGTTTGAAAGCCGAAGAGCCAGCGCTGTCCGAAGACGTCTCCATGATCATGTGGCCGGCATGACTCAACGCCAAAGGCGCACAGAACGCTGTTCCCTTCCCACCAAAGGTGGTCCCTATTTTTCGACTTGCATTTTTTACCTGCTTTCAAACTGCTAGGTTGGCAGAAGCTGGGACAAGTCACGGGAGCTCACCCCTTTACACGGCACTAGGGATTCGAACCGCTGAACTGCCGACCTTTCAATTGACAAGCTCAGGGTCTTAGCCACTGAGCCCCTAATTCTATTCTTAATAGACTATTAATATAATTTTTAATTCTATTGAATTAAGGCACAGGAGCAGAAGGAGCAGTGGTCCTCTCCTGGTCTGAGAACCTTTCATGGATGAGCCTGGGAGGATTTTTTAGGCAGGCCAATGTCTTGTTTTTGTCCACTGTTACAAAACACAATTGCTCCCCCATTTAATAGAAGATGAGCAGAAGGTGAGGAGAACTTCTTTAACAGAATAGCAGAGTTGGAAGGAACCTTGGAAGTCTTGTACTCCAAGCAGGAGACCCTATACAATTCCAGACAAATGGTTGTCTAATCCCTTCTTAAAAACCTCCAGTGATGGAGCACCCACAGCTTCTGGAGGCAAGCTGTTCCACTAATTAATTGTTTGCCTGGTAACTCCCGCGAACCTAGCACACCTACCTGGCTCCATAGACATAAAAACAGTAGATGTGGAACGTCAGGAGGGCAATGATGTCGGAGAGGATGGAAAGGGCCACCGTCAAGCCAAGGCAAGCGGACAAGCCAACGTACCACAAGATCTTCTCAATGAATGGAGACATCAGATGGATGTAGCCTGAACATGGAAACAGCAGCGCTTAAAAAAGAGCAACTATCTCTCTTCGATGAGAGTTATCACCAATAACAGAACAGAATAACAGAATTGGAAGGGACTTTGGAGGTCTTCTAGTCCAACCCCCTGCTCAAGTAGAAGACCTATACCAGGGGTCAGCAACCCGCGGCTCTGGAGCCGCATGTGGCTCTTTCATCCCTCTGCTGCGGCTCCTTGTCGCCAGTCGGCTCCACAATTGATAGGGCTTTCGGTTAGGACAGGTAGAGGAAAAAGGACGCCGTGCTAGGAGGAGACTCTATGGTGGGGGAACTGGACTTCCGGTCAGCTCCAGAATTGAACGGGGGGCTTCCAGTTAGAACTTTTGTGGTTCTTTGAGTGTTTAAGGTTGCCGACCCCTGACCTATACCATTCCAGACATGTGGCTGTCCAGTCTATTCTAAAAAAGCCTCCAGAATGGAGCACCCACAACTTCTGAAGGCAAGGCTGGTTAATTGTGCTCACCGTCAGGAAATTTCTCCTTAGTTCTAGGTTGCTTCTCTCCTTGGTTAGTTTCCACCCATTGCTTCTTGTCCTGCCTTCTGGTGCTTTGGAGAATAGCTTGACTCCCTCTTCTTTGTGGCAGCCCCTCAAATACTATCATGTCACCCCTAGTTCTTTTCACTAGACTAGAAAAACCTGCAACCATTTCTGCAAATAGCCCTTTTAAAACATTCTATCTCCATCAAGATAAAGGTCAAATCTCTTACAAAACGATAGTGGAAAGAATAACCATAAAGATTATAGCTTGTTGAGAAACAAATGAAATCTGATATCTGAATTCAAGTGTTCAGGTGTTGTAACACCAGGGTGCTTACTGCAAGTCCTAAACATGAAGCTAAAACTTAGCAGTTTTAGGTGCATCAAACCAAGGTAAGTGTCAAGATTCCCAATGCTTAGAAATATCAACGGAAAAAGAGACTGAAAGAAAAGATGGTTAGATACCACCACTGTTGACCCAAGTCTGAGCCTATAACACTCTAAAGGAACAGTCAATGCAATCCTGATGAAACAATGGCCATCAGGTCACCAAGGGTTTGGAATTACTGAACAATGACAAGAACAAATAAAATAGAGCCTAAAATGACAACAGCTTTGTATCTCACCAACAGTCCAAAGAACAAACAAGCATGACCTTTGTAAGAAAATAGAGTAGAGTAGAGTAGAGTAGAACAGAACAGAACAGAATAGAAGTAGAGTAGGAGTAGAGTAGAGTAGCAGTAGAGTAGCAATAGAGTAGAGTAGGAGTAGAGTAGAATAGAATATGAGTAGAGTAGAGTAGGAGTAGAGTAGAATAGGAGAAGAGTAGGGTAGAATAGAATAGGTGTAGAGTAGAATAGGACCAGAGTAGAGTAGAGTAGAAGTAGAGCAGGAGTAGAGTAGAATAGCAGTAGAGTAGCAATAGAGTAGGAATAGAGTAGAGTAGCAGTAGAGTAGCAATAGAGTCAGAATAGAGTAGAGTAGAATAGGAGTAGAGTAGAGTAGAATAGGAGTAGAGTAGAGTAGAACAGAATAGAAGTTAGGAGTAGAGTAGCAGTAGAATAGCAATAGAGTAGGAATAGAGTAAGTAGGAGTAGAGTAGCAATAGAGTAGGAATAGAGTAGAGTAGAGTAGCAGAAGAGTAGCAATAGAGTAGGTATAGAGTAGAGTAGAGTAGAATAGGAGTAGAGTAGAGTAGCAGTAGAGTAGCAATAGAGTCGGAATAAAGTAGAGTAGAATATAATAGGAGTAGAGTACAGTAGTAGAATAGGAGTAGAGTAGAGTAGAGTAGAGTAGAGTAGAATAGGAGTGGAGTGGAGTGGAGTGGAGTGGAGTGGAGTGGAATAGAATAGAATAGAATAGAATAGAATAGAATAGAATAGAATAGAATAGAATAGAATAGAATAGAATAGAATAGAATAGATTTATTGGCCAAGTGTGATTGGACACACAAGGAATTTGTCTTTGGTGCAGAAGCTCTCAGTCTACATAAAAATACATTAATCAAGTATCATATTATAATAAAGCAATCAACATAAATTATACCAGGAAATAACTAAATAAAACAATATAGATCGTGAAGACACAAGCAACAAGGTTATAGTCATAAGCAGAAGGAGATAGGTAATAGCTAATTTATAAATCTATAAATTTATAATCTATCTATTTATGTGCTTGTTGGGTATCAAAGAGAGTTGCATAGCAACTTAAGAGAAGAATGGGACACACAACTCTACGGTGTCCTGTCCTATTCTCAAATCTTAGATCACCAGTTCCAGAGCACGGCTTCTAGAACCTCTACAAGAGATTCGTCATTCAACCACACATTCAGATGTGGGCAGTTCTTTCTTTCTCCAGCCTGGTGCCTGCCAGCCAGCAAAGTCAAGGATGATAGGATTTGTAGTCTAAACGATCAGATGGCATCAGCTGGTGTTCCTCGAGTGGCACAAAGGAGTTTGTCACATGTCACAGACAAAGGAAGAGAAGGGCACTTACTAAGCCAGAGGTGGATGTGGTAAAGGAAAAAGCGGCCCAGCACTTGATCCAAAGCTCTGTTCATTTTTAGACCGGCTGGCACACCCATCAGCCACTGCAGGAGGTTCTGGAGCTGCTGGGCGATATGCTGTCGAAAGAGGAAGAGAGCATCAGCAGCATCAGTGGAAAACAGCTCGAAAAGAACAAAGAGTGATTTTCAAAAAAGCTAAAATATCCTGATGTCAAGTTTCGAGGTCGTTTCAAATAAATTGCATTTCAAACAAAGTCTTTGAAGAAAAACTCCTATTTATTAAGCACGGCATTCTAAACCCAACTCCATCGAAGGCAACACTGACTTCCAGCCCCAAAACCCTCCCTTTCCGTTCCCCACTCCCCTGTACTCATTGGCCATCTTCCAAGTCATTCTACTCCTAATCTACTCCAGCTCAAAGGAATTTCCCCCCTCCGATCCCATCTCCTAGGGGATATTATCTCCAGGGAAAATAAGTAGGTGAAAAGTCAAACGTCCCTTTCCAGACGCCTCCGCTTCTCCTTCTTATGTCAGCACTAGAGTAACTGCAGCTTGAAGTGCTGACACCTGAACGGTTTTATTCCCTTTTTTACTCATGGAAAGAAACTGCATTGGAAGCATCAAAATACAGTGTTTCTCAACCATGGCAATAGGTGGATTTCAACTCCCAGAATTCCCCAGCCAGCCATATCTTAAAGTTGCTAAGTTTAAGAAACACTGATCAATATATCATTCTATATCAATATATCACTCTAGAAAAAGTGCAGAGAAGAGCAACCAACATACTGAGGGGATTGGAGGCTAAAACATCAATGAACGGTTGCAGGAACTGGGCACGGCTAGTCTAGTGAAGAGAAGGACCAGGGGAGACAGGATAGCAGTCTTCCAATATTTGAGGGGCTGCCACAGAGAGGAGGGGGTCAAGCTATTCTCCAAAGCCCCCGAAGGCCAGACAAGGAATAATGGATGGAAACTGATCAAGGAGAGATTCAACCTGGAAATAAGCAGGAATTTTCTGATAGTGAGAACAATCAACCCACGGAACAGAAGTTGCCTTCGGAAGTTGTGGGAGCTTCATCACTGGAAGCTTTCAAGAAGAGACTGGACTGCCATTTGTCAGAAATGGTGTAGGGCAGTGGTGAATTCCAATTTTTTTTACTACCGGTTCTATGGGCATGGCTTGCTGGGCAGGGTGTGGCTTGGTGGGCATGGCAGGGGAAGGATACTGCAAAATCTCCATTCCCACTCCACTCTGGGGCCAGCCAGAGGAGGTATTTGCCGGTTCTCTGAACTACTCAAAATTTCCGCTACCGGTTCTCCAGAACCTGTCAGAACCTGCTGGATTTCACCTCTGGTGTAGGGTCTCCTGCTTTGGGGGGGGGTTTCGACTAGATGACCTACAAGGTCCCTTCCAACTCTGTTAATCTGTACATATTTAAATGCCACTGGGAACCTTGCTGGCCAGATTTTGTTTTCTGCATATGGGTTGCTAGCCGCAATTAAACCACGATAGCAAATTAAGATGCAATTTCTTAGTCTGGATGGGGTGGGGGGGAAGAATGACTTTGGTGACACCCAGTGACTTGGGGCTAAGGACCGTTAATGGGAATGGAAACCAGAGAGGCAGGAGGAAGGAGAGCAAAGGAATGCAATTTTACACGAGGGATGTAATTTTTTTATCAGTATTTTATTTATTTATTTTATTTATTTTATTGAATTTATGTACCGCCCTACTCCCGAAGGACTCAGGGCGGTGAACAGCCATAGAATAAAACATATAAATACAAAATTTAAAATAAAATAAAACGAATTAAATAATTTGGCTGAACAAATTTCAAACCCCAATAATTTAAAACCAAATTTAAAATTTCCATTTAAAAAGGGGAAAGACTCAGGCCAGCTTGATGAAATAAGAAAGTCTTGAGCGGTGACGGATCACAAGTTCTTTTGATTTATGGACGGAAAAGTCTTGTGTGTATTTGCCACGGGGCTTTTTAGCAGTCAAAAGCCGCAAGAATTCATCATGGGAATAACAACCACAGCCACCACCACAAATCTTCCTCTCTCTCTGGCTGGGCTCTTAAGTCCATTCAACTTGCATCAGAGAGAAAGAGATTTCGCTTAAAATGGTTTAGCGGCGATGCTTTTATAAAACAATGAACAATGTCAAGTGAAGCATTTTTGTGGTAGGAACACGCTAACCTTTCCGATGGCTGCAGCTCTGCGTGTTAGTCCACAGTGACATTGTGGTCACTGGAGCCTTTGGATGGGATCCAGGAGAAATACTTGATCCTGGACCAGAGGGAAAGGAATCTGAAGTAGCCCAGGCCTTTATTTGCAATTATTAAGCTAAGCATCTGATGTCAAAATAGGAGGACAGAGATGGAAACTCAATGGAAGTCTCAGCTAATATGGGACAAGCTATTCAAAACGTCCACGTTCCACTGAAGAGAAGGGGGAGGGGGAGTGCTTATACAGTAGTGGCCAAAATTGTGGAAATCTTTTGGGAAAAGTATATTTTTGAGGTTTGATGGCTAATAACACCACTTTTTTTTTGGAGTTTCAAGATAATCATATTCCATTACTGCAGTGTTTCCCAAACTTGGGAACTTTAAGAAGTGTGGACTTCAACTTCCAGAATTCCCCATCCAGCATGGCTGGCTGTGGGATTTTGGGAGTTGAAGTCCATACATCTTGAAGTTCTCAAGTTTGGGAAACACTGCATTACTGGAATGGCCTGGGAATAGCCCAGATCTTAACCCCATTGAATTTTTTTAAAAAAATAATTTTATTAACATACATAAATCATAATATATAATATATAACAATATACACAATACAAACAATCAACGAGTGCTCCCCCACCCCTCGGGATCATTCCTGCTTCCAAAACCTTAAAGCTTCTTCTGGTGGTGGTATCCCCCTTCCTCCAGAAAACAGATATATTAGAAACTGTTTCCAGATTCCATTGAATTCATTTACTTTCATTGTGCCCCTCCTTACTTTAATATTACAAGTCAGTTTATCATTTATGGCAATATCCCATACTTCCTTATACCATTCTTCCAAACAATAATCACCTCATGTCTTCCAGTTCCTAGAAATCATTAACCTTGCTGTGATCAACAAATTTGTTATCAACTCTTTAGTCTCTTTTTTACACTTTACATCTTCCAATAGTGAGAGTAATGCTACCTTTGGTGCCTCTTCTACCTTTATTCCTCTATTCCTAAAACCCAGTTAATAGAAGCAATCCTTCAATCTTGGTTTCACATTAGAACCGCTGCAGAACTCAAAGACTTGGTTCACTCCATGGGAAGACATTGTAAGGCCGCTATTCATGTTGAAGGTTACCCAACTAAGTATTAACTGACATGGTGATAATTTTTGTATATCTCATTTTTTTCTACGTGTTTCACTTTTCTTCTTTCTACTGTAATGGCTATTCTAAAAGCAAATCCTTCATAAAAGTTATTGCATTGAATGTAATGCAATGTTGATTCAATTATCTTTCCATCGATATATAATTTTATGGTACTACTCAAAAAAAAATAAAAGTGGAGTTATTAGCTAGTTTTAGAAAATACACTTTTCCCAAAAGGTTTCCACAATTTTGGCCACTACTGTATTTTTAAACCAACATCTAAGTCACGATTGCTATATATGAAAGCTGGTTTGCTCTCCACTGCTTTGCAGTTCTTCCACGAAGGGTAGTTAGAAGGCTGCAGAGACTGGGAATGTGAGTGACTCACCACCATACCCATCTGCAGTGGACACTAACTGCATGCACACATGTCTATAGAGATTCTCAGTCACTCTACAGGCTTTCTTGTTTTTTTCTTTTGAAGACGTTTCGCTTCTCATCCAAGAAGCTTCTTCTGCTCTGACAGCCTTCCATTCCCCACTATCCTGTCAGAGCGGAAGAAGCCTCTTGGATGAGAAGCGAGACGTCTTCAAAAGAAAAAAAAAATAAGAAAGTCCAGTTGCCTCCTGAAAAAGGGCCTGGTGGCTCTGCAGACTAAAAAGCATTGTGATTAACTCCAGCTGTCTGCAATTACTGTAAGTTTGAATCTCACCAGGCTCAAGGTTGACTCAGCCTTCCATCCTTTCTAAGGTCGGTAAATTGAGGACCCAGTTTGTGGGGGCAATAAGCTGACTTTGTATAAATATACAAAAGTATGAAGGCTATTGCTTAACGCATTGTAAGCCGCCCTGAGTCTCCGGAGAAGGGCGGCATATAAATCAAATTAAAAAAAAAAAAAGCATCTTTGGGATTACACATGCACACATGTTAAGCCAGGGAGAATTTAAATCAACATTTGCTGGACAAGCTGCAAGGGTCTAGTTCAGGGCAGTGGTGAAATCCAATTTTTTTTTACTACCGGTTCTGTGGGCATGGCTTGGTGGGTGTGGCAGGGGAAGGATACTGTAAAATCCTCATTCCCACCCCACTCCAGGGGAAGGATATTGCAAAATCTCCATTTCCACCCCACTCTGGGGCCAGCCAGAGGTGGTATTTGCCGGTTCTCCGAACTGCTCAAAATTTCCGCTACCAGTTCTCCAGAACCTGTCAGAACCTGCTGGATTTCACCCCTGGTTCAGGGGTCTCCCAACCTTTGGGCTGTGAGAGTTTTGCAACTGAGCCGTGGAAATGGCCGGTGAGCGTGCGCGCAAGCTAACACATCCTCACTTACACAATGGAGCTGTGCATGCTTGCCAGCTGTTTGTGCAAACCATCCCCTCCCCTACCCACCAGTTCCGCAAAGCCAAAAACGATGGAGAACTTTGATCTAGTTCCTAGTGTCAGACTTATAACCAAGCTGCACGATGATTCGCTGAATGTGCGAGCCAGGCTGTTGCTTCGTTTTGAACAGACTTCCCAAAATACAGGTAGTCCTCGACTTACAACCCTTGGTTTAGCGACCGTTCAAAGTTACAACGGCACTTGAAAAAAGTGACTTATGACCATTGTTCACATTTACATTACAGCATCTCCGCAGTCACCTTGATCAACATTCAGACACTAGCCTGTATTTATGATGGTTGCATAAATCACGTGATCTTTTGCGACCGTCTGACAAGGAAAACCAACGGGGAAAGCCAGATTTGCTTAGTAATGATTACATTATTAACTTAAGAATTGCAGCGATTCCCTTTAACAGCTGTGTGGCCAGAAAGGTCGTAAAATGGGTCAAAACTCAACAATGGTCTCGCTCAGCAACAAACAATTTTGGGGCTCAATTGTGGTCGTAAGTCGAGGAGTACCCATACACTACTACCAGGCTGAGTTAAACTTTGGTGTAGGATGTGCACAAAGAAAACTTACGTCAGCCACTGGGACGAGGCCACTGGCAAGATAACCGATCCAGTTCATTTGATACAACCAGGACATAAGAAGGATACCCAAAGCCACATCGATGAAGAGAGAGATAAAGATGTTGGCTTTCCTGTGTTGGAAAAAAAAAACATGGTTTGCCATGTCAGGTAGAGTGAAACATTTGTTGTGGCCCGCCAGCGGAGCAGGCAGCAGATTCGGACAGTGAGTAGGTTGGGGAGGAACATGGGCCAGTCCTGAAATCTGGGGAAGGCTCTGATGAGGGCTCTGCGTCGGAGGCAGAAAGGGGGCCAAGGCCGTCTGACAGTTGTCAGCTGCCTTCAGAGTCGGACATCAGTGGGGCAGATGAACAACTGGAACCTGTTCCAAGTGTGCGCGTGTGCAGAATTGCCAGACGAAGGGAACAGCTAAAGAACAAGGGTCGACTCAGGAGTAAAGCCACAGGTGGATGATGAATGGCCCTTCCCAGAGGGAATAAAAGAGGAGCAAAAGCAGAGTGGAGTTTGCAGGAGACAATTAGTTCGCCCAATTGGTTCATGACTCTCTGAGACTCCTGGCCAAGTTTTGAAGATATCGGCCTGGCAACTCTCCAAGCCAGATAAGGTCTGTGACTGTAAAGTCTCCCTTGAAAGACTTGCCGGATGTGAATGAGAGGAATTCAACTGTTTGTTTAATAAAAGGGGTTTTGTCGGGACCAGGATTCTGCTTCGTGCTTTTTGGGGAAGCCTAAGTCAGAACAACGTTCCTCAAAATTCAGACACATTCAAGCTTTTCTTTTAGGATGAGAACCAAGTTTATATGCTGCACCAGGGGAATCAGGAGATCCAGGCGGTTCAATTGTAGGTAAAGATTGATCGCAAACTCGAGCTCTCTACAAGAATCTGAACTACTAGCGGTCAAGGGAAAGAAGCGGGGGATAAGAATAGAAAGGAATTCAAGGTGGACTAAAACTTGGATCTCTTCTGGGTGCTCAGGGATTCATGACTGATAACACCTTTGACTCTTCCCTTGGGCTCAGCCTTGTCGTCTCCTACAATAAGACGCCATCGGCTAGATTTTCCAAACATGCTACTATGTCACAACGGTGGGGATGTTGTGACGGTCATAACTGCGAGGAACGGTTGCAAGTCATCTTTTTCAGTGCCGCTGTAACTCTGAACGGTCACTAAACGAATGGTGGTAAGGCGAGGACTACGTGTAAAGGGAAAAGTAGAATCCAGGAGTTCTGCAAAGGCATTTGAGGTTTCTGCAACCACGCAGAGGCAGGTGCTGTACAGATATTTCCTACAGCTGTGCCAGGGTTGGCATGCCAGCCTCTGTTTCCTGGGCAACTCTCATTTGCTGGATAGAAATGGAAGTTGTGTGGGCAGTGGTACGGGGGCAGCAGCAGGGGAAAGAAAAAAAGCCCAAAATGTTCACTCCAATGTGATTGTCTCAGGTGCAGCACCACAAAATATAAACACAATGGAACAGAATGTTTCCAAAAACAATGAGAAGCGGGCCCACACGCACAACTATATTTTGGGAAACAGAATGTTCTATCCTCACTTATAAAAAAAACCCTTCTCACTCACACACACACAAACACAGAAAGACAATACCACAATATTAAGAGAGTCCCTTTTTCCCTCCCCCAGGGAGCTCTTTGCATATAAACCTATTGGGACACTAAAAGGAAGGGAGAGAAAAGAAAGAAAGAAAGAAAGAAAGAAAGAAAGAAAGAAAGAAAGAAAGGTTAGGTTATCAGCCTAAACCATGATCATGAAGTTGCCATTTTTCTTTTTTTCTTTCTTTTTCTCTTTCTTTCTTTCTTCTTTTTCTTTCTACCTTTTCTCTCCCTCTTTACCTCTCTCCCTTCCTTCCTTTTCTCCCTCCCTCCCTTCTTTCTTTCTTTCTTTCTTTCTTCTTTCTTTCTTTCTTTCTTTCTTTTTTTTTCTTTCTTTCTCTCTCTCTTTCTTCTTCCTTCCTTCCTTCCTTCCTTCTCTCTCTCTCTCTCTCTCTCTTTCTTTCTCTTTCTCTTTTCTTTCTCTCCCTCCCTCCCCACCCCTCTCCCTGGGTTGGTTGAGGGTCATTGCTGTCTCTGGTTAGCTGTGTGACTGATTTGGATTCTGAGGCATTCATAGACTGATTGTAGGTCAATGTGTCTGTTGATGCCATTTTTTTCAGTGATGTTGTAACTCTGAATGGTCACTAAATGAACTCTTGTAAGTCAACCTTACTGTTGTATCTTTGGATATCGGTCATGGAGCCTATCAGGATTTCGTGCAGCGGAATTCTTACCTCATCGCTTGGGCCTGATCTGAAGCTGCCTTCTCACTGCTGATGACTTGGAGATGTTGGAACCGATGCCTCAACTGCTCATAGGTGGAAAGTTTGCTCCAGACGAAGGACAGGGGCCAAAATGTCAGAGCCCTGGAGAAAAAAAAAAAAACAGACGGGCACCCCAATGAAACCAACATTATTAATGAAAATTTCCCCCTTTCTGAAAACTTCCTTCTCAGAAAGCAACATAGTAGTATTCCTTTAGGTGTTGGGCAAAGGCATTCTATAGGTAGTCCTCAACTTACAACATTCAGTCCTAGCGGACAACCATTTAAATATGAGCCAGCCGTGTGCTGCAGCTGGCAAAAAAGCCAACACAGTTCTAGGCTGCATAAACAGAGGGATAGAATCAAGATCACGTGAAGTGTTAATACCACTTTATAAGGCCTTGGTGAGGCCACACTTGCAATACCGCATCCAGCTTTGGTCGTCACGATGTAAAAAAGATGTTGAGACTCTAGAAAGAGTGCAGAGAAGAACAACAAAGAGGATTAGGGGACTGGAGGCTAAAACATATGAAGAACGGTTGCAGGAACTGGGCATTACTAGTTTAACGAAAAGAAGGATTAGGGGAGACATGATAGCTGTCTTCCAATATCTCAGGGGCTGCCCCAAAGAAGAGGGAGTCAAGCTATTCTCCAAAGCACCTGAAGGCAGGACAAGAAGCAACGGGTGGAAACTCATCAAGGGGAGAAGCAACCTAGAACTAAGGAGAAATTTCCTGACAGTCAGAACAATTAACCTGTGGAACAACTGGCCTCCAGAGGTTGTGGATGCTCCAACACTGGAAGTTTTTTAAGATGATGTTGGACAGCATTTGTCCGAAGTGGTGTAGGGTTTCCTGCCTAAGCAGGCGGTTGGACTAGATCAGTGTTTCTCAACCTTGGTAGCTTGAAGATGGGTGGACTTCAACTCCCAGAATCCCCCAGCCAGTTTCTGGGAATTGAAGTCCATCCATCTTCAAGCTTCCAAGGTTGAGAAACACTGGACTAGATGACCTTCAAGGTCCCTTCCAACTCTGTTTTTCTATTCTATTTTAAGATTTAGCGACTGTTCAAAGTTACAACGGTACTGAAAAAACTGACTGAGGAGCGTTTTTCACTTACAAACGTTTCAGCATCCTCGTGATCATGCGATCAAAGTTCAGAGGCTTGGCAAGTGGTTCATCCTTATGACAGTCGCAGTGCCCCATGGTCACGCGGCCACTTTTTGTGACTTTCCCACAAGCAGAGTCAGTGGGGAAGCCGGATTTACATTAACAACCGGGTTACTAATTTAACAAATGCAGTGACTCGCTTAACAACTGTGGCGAGAAAGGTCGTAAAAATGGGGCAAAGCTCATTGAACAAATGTCTCCCTTAGCAGCAAAAATCTGGACCTCGATTGGGGTCATAAATCGAGGATTGCCTGTAGCTGATGGTAACAAACGAATGCCTAAATCAAAACTTTACTCCCTGACATCCTAGCTGTCCATAGGGCTTGGAATTTTGCCCTGGAAGGTTGATTAAAATATGTCATTGCTCACTTGGACAATAAACTGGCATAGTTCTGATAGTTCAATTCCGTATGACATTTCAGAATTAATGATGCACTTTTAGAGGCATCGTGGTGTCATCTCCTGAAGGCTAATTACAAGGGGTTATTTCCTCCCAATGCCTTCTAATAAATTACTTCCACAAGTGTGATAAAGAGCAACTGCTGGAGCTAAAAAAAAAAAATCAGCGCTTGGAAGTGACAAGGGCAGTCTCTTCATTAACGCGTTTTCAAAGATCGAGCATTTAATATCTGGAGAGGAGATTCAAGATAAAACGCTGCCGTCCCTAAGGTCGAATTACGCAAGAGATATACAAAAGAGTTAGAAGATGCACTTCCTCCCAAGAACTGAATGGATTGCTGCAGGATATGCAGTATATTTGCAATAAATAAATGTGTAAGCTTTACATGCAAAGATATCACTGTTCAATCCACCCTCCATCTTCTTCAATCCAATTTCCAAGAACAAGAATCACAACAGTTCCGAAGTCCAGATATTGCCACTGGGATTTAGATTTGGGATTTAGTGTAGAAAAGAGCAACGAAGATGATTAGGGGGCTGGAAGGTAAAACATATGAAGAACGGTTGCAGGAATTGAGTATGTCTGGTCTAGGACTAGACTAGACTAGACTAGACTAGACTAGACTAGACTGAGTTGGAAGGGACCTTGGAGGTCTTCTAATCCAGGGGTCTGCAACCTTAAAGAGCCATTTGGACCCGTTTCCCACAGAAAAGAAAACACCGGGAGCCACAAAACCCTTCCCATGCCTGACTATTTCTTGAGCGGCCACAAAACTAGCATACGTAGTTGAATTAAACATTCTTTTTCCTTCTGAAATTTTTCTTTTCTTAGATTTATCCATGGTTGGCCTACCGGGGGTTGAAAAGCTCAATAAATTGCGTGCCAACAGGTGTCACACATTGGCGGTTGTGATGCATATTTTGGGTGACAGGGAGCCGCAGCAGAGGGGTGAAAGAGCCACATGCAGCTCCAGAGCCGCAGGTTGCTGACCCTTGTTCTAGTCCAACCCCCTGCTTAGGCAGGAAACCCTATATACCATTTTAGACAAACGGTTATCCAATTGTCTCACTAAGGGTGACATTATGGCGATGTTCCAATATTTGAGGGGCTACCACAAAGAAGAGGGGGTCAAGCTATTTTCCAAAGCATCAGAAGGCAAGACAAGAAGCAATGGATGGAAATCAATCAAAGAGAGAAGCAACCTAGAACTAAGGAGAAATTTCCTGACACTGAGAACAATTGACCAGTGGAACAACTTGCCTTCAGAGGTTGTGGATGCTCCATCAATGGAGGCTTTTTAAGAAGAGACTGGACAGCTACTTGTCTGGAATGATATATGGTCTTCTGCTTGAGCAGACGGTTGGACAAGAAGACCCACAAGGTCCCTTCCAACTCTGTTATTCTGTTATCTCTTTTGTTACTATATTATCTATCATTTAGCCTACAAAGCCAGAAGCCTCCAGATCAGGGATCTCCAACCATGGCAACTTTAAGGCTTGTCTTAAAGTCAGGATAGCCACTCCCTCAAATTTCCCAGGTGTATCTGTTAGAGTGAGAGCAATACAGATTTAGTCTGGCAAGATGCTGTCTGTTGGGCGTAACCAAATAAAGAACTGAATTCTGGCTGAATTTCTTTGTTGTTCTTGGGCTTAGCCTGACAAATAACAACAATTTCCTGACTTGTTCACACAGGACTTTTAAACATTCTCAAATATAGTAACATGTTTGCAAATTCTAATGTGATATTTCCTATGGCTCATTGTTGGCCTATGAAGCCTGACTTTTGATACACCCTATGTACCAAAGGGTGTATCAAAAAAAAAAAAAAAAAAAGGGACGCGGTGGCCCAGTGGCTAAGACGCTGAGCTTGTTGATTGAAAGGTCGGCAGTTCAGCTGTTTGAATCCCTAGTGCCATGTAATGGGGTGAGCTCCCGTGACTTGTCCCAGCTTCTGCCAACCTAGCAGTTTGAAAGCAGGTAAAAAATGCAAGTCGAAAAATAGGGACCACCTTTGGTGGGAAGGGAACAGCGTTCCGTGCGCCTTTGGCATTGAGTCATGCCGGCCACATGACCACGGAGATGTCTTCAGACAGCGCTGGCTTTTCGGCTTTGAAACGAAGGTGAGCACCGCCCCCTAGAGTCAGGAACGACTAGCACATATGTGCGAGGGGAACCTTTACCTTTAATGTACATATATGTATATACACAGTACATATACATACATATTACAGACTAGTGTCTACTTCATGCCACTTTTTTATTTTTGTTTTATAACGCTTCACGAATTTGCGTGTCATCCTTGTGTAGGGGCCATGCTAATCTTCTCTGTATCATCCTTGCGCAGGGGCCATGCTAATCTTCTCTGTATCATCCTTGCGCAGGGGCCATGCTAATCTTCTCTGCATCGTTCCAATTTTAGTATATGTGCTGCCGAAGCGAGCACTACTTCATGCTACTTGAAGATACGGTAATAATGAAGTAGCAGGAAGCTGACAGGTAAAAAAGAAGCGGTAAATGGGCCGCAGTGAATAAATATGATCCTTCAAATGTGGGCATTAATCTAGCTATCAAGTACAACCTCCCCAAATAGAATCCCTTGGAAATTGGCGGAAGGAATAAAAAACAAGTTAATTTTGAGGAATGGTTGCATATGCGCAATGCGTGACCTCAGGTTCATGTGGCTTGCATTTCCCTCTTCAGCTTGATGGGATTTCATTTCCTCTTATTATTCCATTTATGGGTTAGAATACGAGCATTCCAAACGCAAAGGCAGGATATATAGTAAATTAACACAGGCTGAAATGGCTCCATATTCCATTGAACTTGACACACGCTGCTTATATAAAATATACCCGCTCCAGATTATAGCTGTAGTGAACTATTTTTTTTTTTCTGTTCCGTTTTTAATCTTCCTGTCCCAGGCCTTGCTACTAGGGAAGGAGCAGTGAAGGAATGTAATGGATCAGATAATATTTTCAGGGTTTTATTTATGGTATGCTTCCAAGCTTATGAATCAGCAAAAAGCAAGCAACCTTATGCCCAAACTATTTTTTTTTTTAAAAAAAACAATAACTAGCATTTGTTGGAACCATTTGTTTCTTTGAATGGCTAATTCCAATTTCCATAGATGTCAACTATTTTTTTATGAGAGAATATATCAATCCTATATTAATGGGTGAAAGCCTGCAGTACGGAGTCAGAAAACTCTCTATAAGGTTGGAATAATTATTTTGGCTTAGACTCGGGGATGGGATTCAGCACCAGGTGCTAATTTTAATCTGGTTTGCCAAACTGGTACTTGCAAGGACTGGCTGACCCTGGCCACCCCTCCCCTCCCAAAAGTCTCCATGCGGCCCATTTTGGATGCCAGGTAAGTGCAGGGCCCATGTGGAGGCTCTGGGAGCACGAAAAATGGGCCTACTGGAAGTTCCGGAAGTCTAGAAATGGGCCCGTTTCCGGCCTCTGGAGGGCCTCCGGGGCCTGGGGGAGGCTGTTTTTGTCCTCTCAGAGGCTCAAGGAAAGCCTCTGGAGCCT